TCCCAACGTAAAACTCCAAAGCTACAAAACAAAATGATACTACACGCCTGTGTTTCAAACAGAAGGGGGCAACAAAGAAGCTAAAGATCCACAACAGAAAAGCAGAAAAAAACCCACAGCCTTCCTCTCAACGAATAAGCTCACGGGTTGAGGCAGCAAGGAAGCCACCAAGCCAACACAAAACTCTCCAAAAGACTTCAAAGAAAAGCTAAATCATGCATTTATATTACGAACAACAGGGGAGCAGAACCGAGCCCTCAAACCAAACTCCAAAAGCCTCAAAGAATTATTTCATCTTGCATATGTTTCGAATGGGGAGACAACCATATAGAGAAAATATCTAATGAAACACGGTTTGCAAATCCTCAACCACAAAACAATCTAATGAAGCACGGCATACATGCAAATATGGGTGCAAGATCTACAATTTCGCAAAAGGCACCGGAAACCTCTCAGATCCAATAATAAACGAAGAAAATGGCTCGTCTTTACCTGTGCTCTGTCGATCGAGGGACGACAAAAGAAGGAGGATAAGAGGACGCGAAGGAAGCAGCGGGGAAGATCCTAGGGCAGAGGCCAGAAAAGGGTAAAAGGTAAAAATCTCTTGCAAAAGCGGGGCAGCGGGGTTAATACCGCTTCCCGCTTTTGCTCAGCTTCCGCGAAGTAGAAAGCCAAAGTCGCAAACCAAACGACGAACTTTCATGAATTATCGCGGCAAAGGCCCGCGCAGCGCCAAAAAATTCCTCCCAAACGGAGCCTTAGTCCTATAGAGAAATGGAGCTAATGTAGTCAAGCACTGCATACCAAGTGTGAGCAGGCAACTGATCTCAATAACATAGCAGAGAATTCTCCCTGACAAGAATCCTATTGGATATGAACCCATGCCAGAACTTCATGGACTGCAACATTTTAAACTACCATGAACCTATGAATGTCTGAGCACACAAGCTTTACTCAAAAGTATCTGAAAGTGCAGGATATCCATGGGTGGACTAGTACTATCTGAGACTACTAATGAAACAAAAAGATGAATCGGACAAGTTGTACAATGTTTTGAAGAAAGCATTGACATGATTTTTGATGTAAGATATTGATCAAAGGAAAATATGTTGAGATTTTCATACATATTTTATATATTTTTGATGATATTGCACTTTAAGAAAGGTATTTTTGATGTTTTGTTGCAGGAATGATGAATTAGGGTCAGTGGAGCAAAAAGATGCAAAAAGGAACGAATTTGGAGCGAAAAGAACCAAAATGTGAAGAATTAAACTGGGGCACCAACGGCTAGCCCAACGGTACCGACGACGAGATTTTTCCGAGACTCTATAATTAATTCACTTAGAAGGCCCACCGACGACGCCCTCGAGGCCGCCGACGGGGGTCTCTAGTTATGTCCAACCAGGCTTTGGATGAGGACAAATTTTGGAGGGGTGCTTAGGCAACTCTTGGGAAAGATCATCCACAACTTTAAAAGAAGATTTTGGCCAAAAATTGAAGAGAGCCTGGAGGTCCTGGAGGTTATAAAGGTTCCATTAGTGTGTAAAGAGTTTCATAGAGTGTCTAAATTGTGAGGAATTCTTTGATAGATTGTAAGAGTGGAGGGAAAGTGAGAGATTTTTTCCTCCTTGTCGCTTTGAAGAGGAATTTTGTGTGCTGTAAAGAAAGGAAGAGATTCAGAGGAACTTCGAGCTGTTTTCTTGAGAAGAAATTAGAGATAAGTTTATTTACTTGTTGTAGTTTGTATGAATTTAATTTTATATATGTATTTCGCATTTTGTTGTGTTTTTCCCATGAGATCTGAGTAGTTTTCTCTATCTTTCTCCTTGTCTTGAGATTTGTGAAATGGTGATTTAAATTGGTGAAGCCATGAAAATATTTAAGAAATTGTGATGATCTTTTCACTTTGATCTTAATTTACTTTCAATCTGGCCAATTGATTGATTAAAATATGTTGAGTTTTACAACTAAAGTGAAGATTACATCCAAGATTCAAAGGGTCAAAGCCCTTAGAAATTGGGTGCAAATAAATAGGGAAATAAGATTATCGGGCATAGAATTGGAGATTTTAGAGTGACAGCCTAAAATCCCCATTTTGGTCCTATTGTTTGGGTGCTGAAGTGTAGATGTTAGCCCTCAGGCGAGGGGAACATGGGAGCTCTGAAGTGAGAGCCGGTATCCTCTCAGCCTAGTCGTAGATTCAGTAAACAAGCGTAGGATTAGTCAATGTTCTTTATTCCTGGACCAAAGGGTAAATAATATGTATGCTCCTATTTGGCACAATACAAATTAAACTGATTTATTTTATCCATTCATTATAATTTCTTGACAAGGAGATGGATGCTTTCTTATATATTGAATATCACAATAAAAATCTCATTATAATAATTAGTTATTTCAGGGTTATTAAGAAAATTACATATTTATTTCAATTGCCTATTAGTGACAGATAAGCAAATTGAATTTCATTATTGTGATTAAAGTATTGCTTTTCTAAAATCTTAGTTTGTAGTTCTAATATTACTCCCTGTGGGATCGATATCTAGGACTCCATTAGAGCCCTATATTACTTGAGCGATACGTACACTTGCGTTGATAAGTGTGACTTAACAATTATTAAATATTTATTACATCCATATTTATCGAATCTATAATTGTTATTAAGTTTTGGTACAGTAGCTGAGGAATTAAATCTTTTAGCAAGAGTATTAATTACTTATATTTTTAAGCATATATAAAGTCGCTGTCAGATATACTACCGACAACCTATGTATCACTATATGTTATCTTTTGTAGTGGAAGAAAACTTTAGTTTTGCTATA